CACAGTAAACAAAACAAGTGTTTCCTAGCAACGACAACTGCGCTAAACACTGAGACAAGAAATAAATACACTTACAAGCTGCTTTTAACTTCTGCTGATTGACTGCTTCTCACAAAGAGTATTTCTTTACACTGTTTTGCTGGCGCTTGAACACACTTTCCTGTTAATCACAACAAATGGCCAAGCAAAGCGCACGACACTGACAAGGTACACGATACAGTACCCATGGATATTCATATATATACACAGGGATATTCGTAGAACTGGCTGGAACAATACACTGAGATGCTTTCACTGTTGCCAACTAATTTTCAGAGGAAGTTGCTAAAGGCGGAACGATTTGTTGCTAAAAGTTGCTATGATTCATATGGATTCATTTTTTTAAACAATGCCTTTACAACCTTTGTGGACTTTCAGTGGAGGAACAGAAACCTCTCAGGTTTCATTAAAAAAAAAGATAAAAAACGGTCAATGGGTAGGTACCCTTTTAAAAGGTACTACATGTACAATTTAGGTTGTAACATGTACAAGTATGTAGTAATATGCACCCTTTAAGGGTAAATGAAGTACATATGTGTGCCTTTTAAAAAAGTACTGCCCCAGTGACAGCTTTTGTACTTTTTTTTGGAGCATGAAGCTTGCAGTGTAGCAGTTAACTTAGCTTAGTAATTTTTTTTTTCTCTAGAGTAGCTGGTAGTAAGCTTGCTACATGTGTTGACTTGCTTGTCCAACACGGCTTGACACCTTGCAAACATGCCATTTTTTCCCAACAGAACAACACATATAAGGAAACATCACTACTAGCTTTATCCTGCAACATCACTTTGATGCCATTTCAAATCGTTTTAGAGGATTCCATTTCTTTACCCAGGCTAAACCTTTAGGGTTGAAATGAAAAGTCACAAAAGCTGTCACTATGGCAGTATACATTTTCAAAAGGTTCACTGTTGTACCTATTCTACCCCCTAAATGGTGCGTATTAGTACCTTTTGAAGGGGTACTGCCCCAGTGACGGCTTGTGTACCTTTTTTTCCTGAGTGTATTTTTACTTACATGTACTTTAAAACCTGTTTGATAATCTGCTTTGCAGCAAACACAAGTGTTGAATTTTTTTAAAATTTTCTCAACTGCCGTTTTTCCATGCAGTGAAAGTAGACAAAAAAGGTCTTTACCTTGAAAATCTTGCTTTAAAATTACTGTGGAAACTTGGTAAGGAGATACATGAGATTCCAGTATATATAGCTCTTTCAACTGCAGTCTGTTTGGTGTCCTGTAGCATTTTCAGTGTTAATTGCTTTGCAATTTTACAGCTGACAAATTTATACAATACCAATAACAGTGTGAGATATAAAAGAGAGGAATAAACATGGGGAAAATAGCATGTGTGAGACAGACAAAGGGAATACTAAAACTGATAGAGATACATACTGTTGAAGAAATCACTGTAGGGGTCTGTTGTTGTGTCAGGGTTGGTTGCGCAAACTACACTCATCTTAATTAGGCTCTCGGGGCAGTGCATATGTGCGATAGCGCCCGGCGGAGGGGGGCTCGACTAATCTCTCCTACTGTTCCTGTTTACTGACTGTCTCTCTGTTTGCCTGCAAGCCTCTCTGTCTATAGAGGTTAAGCTGTTCTGCATTTCCTCTGCAGTGAATTAGAAGAAACGTCTTTGAATCATTGGGAACTGTGCTGGTATATGGTTTGGCTGAGGGATTGTAGCAAAGTCCCACATCTCTTCCAGCTTTTCCTGGCCTTGTCACAGCTGTATTAGGGGCAGTTGTGTGGTGTAGCTATATTTGGCTCTCGG